AAGTTGACAAGGGGTTGGCTCAGGACTCTCCTACAGCTCCTGAAGGGTAAAGTACCTCCAGCTTAGTGGAAATCATATCCTTTAGTCAAATGAAGTGCTTCCTAGAGACCCTAAATGCTTTTAAATTTCAAAAGGTCATATTCTTATAAACTCAAGGGGAAAAGGTAATCTCAAATAAGAATGCAAGCAACAAAAAAACCCCTTTGTGTTCCAAGCAGGATTCTGTATGAGGCTTTGCTTACACATCACAGCCATCACAATGACAGACAATAATGGAAATCTTTTTTCTGTATTTTTACTGGAGAACTTCGTTGTAGAAAGATTTGATAAATAATAATCAAGTTAAAGTAAGTTAAATCAAATCTGCAATTTTCATTAAGGAGAAGAAAGTAAAAATTAATACTCACAATAGACTTTTTACTGCCACTTGAAGATTTGCATCCTGCTAAACAAGGTGACACGTAAGTTATTCCATTGTCGCCACAGACAGGTTCCCATTGACTTTCATCACAATTGCAGTCTGAGTTGCAATAAGAAAGTGGTACATTTATATGAGATGCCACTGGATTAATTCTGGAAATATATGATGGATGTATATCAAAAAGAGAGAGGATGAGAGAGGAGAAGAAGGAGGAAGAGGAGGAGAGAGGAGAGGAAAAGAGAGGAGAAAGAAGGGAAAAGGTTATCCTTAAATTAGATGGAAAATTTTGGTGGGCTATGACACCAAGATGGCAAAATTTATTTTTAGTGCTTATTAACTTTTTTACCCTTCATCTTTACCCAGACATAATTTATTACCTAGAAAAAATAAAATATAAAAAGAGAAACACAAGAGGTCTTTGTGATTCTATCAAAAAATTACTCAAAGTCACTACATTTTTCTGAGATTTAGTTTCTCTTCAGTAGGGTCAGGGCATTAGAGTAAGGTTCCTCCCAGCTCACTGTAAAGTCCCATAAATATGTGAATGTTATTTAACTAGTTTGATTCTAAAAATCTATATTTTAATTACACAAGAACTCAACATAATCAAAACAGAATCCCTAAGGATCAATTTTTAAAAATCAAGAATAATAGAATCAGCTGAGAAGGACTAGAAAAACTCCATATACTTTTAAAACAAAACTACAACATATTTTGTGATTATTTACTGTAAAACATGGTTGTGTTTATAAACTATAATCTTATAACATGGCTAAAATTACAAAATGGATTATTTGCATAATTAATTTTCTGCTTATAGATTTTTAAAATTATGTTTCTGTTTTGTGGTAGAAATCTTGATAAATTATCATTGAATGAGAAAGTATTTTTTCCGGAAAAAAGAAGGAAGGTTCAGAAAGTCCATAATCAAGAATTTTACTAAAAGCATTTAATACCTATTCCTGCTTGGGGACATAAGATGGGGAGTGATTTAGCCTCCGAAAATAGGGTGACGTTTAGGTAAGTGAATGTGTAGAGGTTTAATAAGTTCAAATTGACACTTCAGAGGATCCAGAGTTTAATGCTCCAACCCAGCAACAAGCAGCACTGAGAAGCCTGCTGACTCAACTATGATCCAAGGATCTTTGCTTGTGGCCTGAACATGAACCTTCTTAAGCTTACGTTGTTGGCTATATTCAGGAGATAAGAAATCTGCACAGAAATCTTCCCCTGACTTGGCGTAGAGGCTGTTGTGCTAGGAATACTGCACATTACATAATCATAATAAAAAGTAAACGTTTTCCAGGTCCAATATGCAATTACATATAGGATATTCATCAATTCTACTGCTAGTGAAAACAATACCCAAAGAAACAATATTAGCTTTCAGAAAAGGAGAATTCAGTACAATGTGATGGTTTTCTTATAGAGATAGTTGGTAAATATCAAAGGTAAATGTTGATAAAGATTGTCCAGTCACTTTTGGAGAATGTCATTTATGTTTCTCTGACGATGGATCCGAGATTCTAACAGTTAAGACTAAGAGTCCTGGAGTCAAAACCTACAAATTCGAGTCAGAATCTTAACGATGTTACCCACATAACCTGTGTATCTGTCTAAGCTTCGCTTTTCTTCATCTATAAAATGGACAAAAAAGTACCCATCACTCATTGTAAGCACTCCATAAACGATAACTATCACCATTATGGCCAATACAGCTTTTCTTTAAGGAAGGAGGGAAAAAAGAACATTTTGAGATCCTAAAAAATGGATGTTTTAAAAATTTATCAATTGAAATTTCTCTAAATTAAAAGTTTAGTTAAAACTGCTACCTGTCTTGTTTTCCTTACATTCTTTTTACACTGGATAGTTTATATATTGTGTAATTGATATACTGATATATACAAACCCATCATAAGTCAAGGTTAGGCCGGCAACTGATTTGTTTTCACAGATTAGTGCAAAATTTAATAGATGAAATATGAAGGCCAATGCATTGGTGAAAAATGACAATTTGGCAATTCCAACCAAGGTAAGTTTGAATCTTTTAATGATATATCCTCCTGTAAACATTCCAGTTGCCAAAGTTGGTATGGAAATGGATCCTAGAAATTAAAAAGCAGAAAAGATGTAATTATATAAAGATGGTTATTCTGAATGTCTTTACATATGAAATACAGTGTATATCAACCAAATTCATCAGATCTTATTACTTCTTAACTAGAAGGCTGGCAGGCCAGGGAGGAGGTAAAGGACCAATGTACCATGCAGGAGAGAAACAAATAACTTCTTCTTGCCGGTGCTAAAGGTTTGGTTTCCTCAATAGCAAAGGCCAAGAATATTTGGCCAAGAACATCTGTAAGTGTAAACATATAGTTTCTATAATGTGCTTTTTCTCCCACCCCCTGGAAAACAACAACAAAATATCACTTTCCTGCCTATGAAACTTTTATTGTACCATCTAAAATCTTTAATATCTCCTTAAAATGAAGAGTTCCTATCCTTAAGAACTTACTATAAATTTGCCCAGTACTTTAGAATTGAATACTTAATGTCTCTTCTTTATTCATCTAAACACACATATCCCCTAGATGATAAATAGGCCAGTACACGGTATTAAAAATAATTGATTCCGCTTATAGTTTTTCCACTTCATTGTCCTGCAAGATTTATTAAACATGAAGTGCCCTTAAACAAAAAAAAAGTTAGGCTGAGAATCTTACTAGGGATTAAACTTAAGTTTAGTTTTAACTTTTATCTCAAGTTCAAGAAGAGCATCATACAGAATTATTTTTTTCTTGTTTACTTATGACTTATTCATATACCACTAATAAATTCAGCTTAATTTATCAAATGTTGAGTTTCCACAGTCTGCTGGTTACTGTACTGTATATTTCACTGCTCTTAAGAATCTTATACTGGAGGTAGGGAAAGAATGATATAAGAAAACCCTTCCTTCATAAACAAGCCTCAATGTGTCACTGGAAATAGTGTAGCAAAAAAAAAAAACTCTCTTAAATATGATACTTGTTTTGAATTATCTAGATATCAGTGATGTGTTTAAATTGATTTTTCTTTGGAGAACACTACTGACTTATTTCTTGTATGTAGCTAGGTTCTGATTCAAAGTCCATGAATTATGGAATTATAATAATTACATTACAAAAGAATTTGTCTCAGAATCTCAGCACTAGAGTGTAAGATCCAGTTATCCAGATACCATATCTAAATATTCCATTCACATGTGACTTTTCCTTTAAGGATTTACCTCTTCAAAAATAACACAAAAGGCAACTTCAAATGCAGAACAATGTTGCTATCACAACACCGATAGATTTGACAAAATTTGAAAAAGAATAAATGGAAATTATATTTACTAAAATATGAAACTTCCTGCATACCCCAGTGTCACTTGGAACTCAGTTACTTGGTAGTATATCATTCATCAAGCAAACATAAACAAGGGGTCTTACCAAACAAAATGTTAGCCTCAGAAGCTGACTGACCATACTGTTGTTCTACATATTTGAAGACATAAGTAAAACTGCCAATATGGCTGCTGATTTGCAGAAGTGTCATAAACAATGTTATAACATACAAGGGATTGGTAAGGATGCTTTTCAAGGACTGGAAAAAACCTATAAAAGTAGAGATGAAAATATTATAATGCAGGTTAAATGTATATTAATAGCTTAATCCTATAAATATAAGTTATATAAGATTCAAAATTACATAAATACATAGCATAGAAAGTCTGAATACTTTGCAGTCCTACTGTCAACAGTTTGTTTATATATTCCTTCTTGTTTAGTTAGTTCATCATACTCCAAAATAAGATCAAATATTTATTTGTTTAGCAATTTGCTTTGTTCACATCATATTTAATTATTCTTCGCAGTCTACCATTCAATTGCATACTTCATTAGTTCATTTAGTCGTTTACTTAACAAACGTTTGGTTTTCATTTGGGTACCATGTAATATACTAGGCACTCAAGAAACAAAAGTGAATGAAATGCAGGGTTTCTTATTTATTAGCACTTAATAATATAATTGTTATATTAATGATATAATTATTATGTAGAAATTTATCTTAAAGATAGTATAATCCAACACATCCAGAAATATGACTAAGGCTCAAAAATCACAAAGCTCAATTTAGTACCAGGACTCAGATCTCTTGTTTCCTGGGATATGGCTTTTCTACCATAAAATACTGTGTCAGTAAATCTGGTAATATTATCAATCACCTTTCTTAAGGTGATACTCTGTCTCAAGTGACCTTATGACAATAACAGGGCAAAAACCTATGCCTACAAACAGGTGTGTAACAAGTTCTTAATCTCCATACCTACCAAGAATTATGGGATCTGGGTCTCTGATCATCAGATTAACCAGCTGCAATGGGAATTAAAAGTGGAAGGAACTACTTAGAAAAACAGTGGGAAGAATCAGAGTCTAGCAAGACAGAACCAGATATGGTTATTGAGAGATCGATGGCATGGACATCTCTGAAAGATCTTGTGCTGTAGATCTCTAAATGTTTCCATTAGATGTGGTCAGAACTAAACCTTTCCAATGGTAACTAACAAATAGTTTAATTTGCTTATAATAATAAGAACAAAGATTAGGGCAAAGGGCATAGAAGAATAAAAAGATGTAAGGAAATGCATAGCAGGAATAAATAGTATTTAAAGTTGTTAGGCCAAAATGCTAAACTCCTCTCCGTGGGACTCCTCAGTTAGGAAGGACCATTAACTTGTGAGGCACTGTAAGTCAGTTGTGACATTTGATAAAAAAGTAAAATAAAATAAGGCAGATAGGCTCACCAAATCATTTAATTTTTGAAGTGGGTGAAAACTTGGATGGCATCTGGTCTGAACTTCTACACAATCATGATCCACTCTATACCCTTGATAATTCAATCAATAAGCAACTCAACTGGCAGTAAGCTGACTACCTCCAAAAGGCATTGCTCCATTTTTAGACAATTCTTCTTTTTTACAAATTGTTTTTGCAGTGAACTGAAATCTTTCTTTCTTTCTAACCAATTAATTTTATTTCTATTCAAATTTGATTTTTTTTCTGACTAAATGTTCTTAGTTATTTCGTCTATTCCTAACAGCACACAATTAAGGACCTCTTTACTGTCTTAGTTTGGTCACTATCTTACAAACACAGTTGATGACATAGATGATATTTACAATTGCCCTATTTTTGCTTCTTCATTATCCTCTCCATTTGTTTTGGGCTCACAGTCAATCCAATCCTCTGGGTTTAGATAACCCACTATTTTTTTTTATGGATTTAATTTGCTACAGTGGAAACAACAAAGACCAAATGAAAATTTATTGGAATGTTACTTTTAGTGTGTATGTTAAATTTCAAAGACTTCTAACTCGGTGATTTGCTGGTAAACATTCAACAATTGATTCTTGGGAAAACAAGGCCTGACCTGAGTATTTTCCAATTTCCACAGTAATAAAAGGGGGTAACTTCTCCCACCATAGCCAAATTCAGGCTACCAATGCAGCTGAAAAATTAAGTCCTCTCTCATGAGCCAGTACAAGGCACACCTTTGCTTTTGGATTAGAGTGGTAGAGAGAAGAAACTAACAATAAAGTTGTGAGTGGAAGAACTGATGAGAGGGAACACTTGGGTACACTTGAGAATCTCTAATGTCACTTCAACTTGAAAAGGTTGCCAAGGGTTCAGGGGATGCTCTGCTTTGACTTTTACTATTCCACCACTTCTATGCAATCTGAAAACTGTGCTGTTAGCACCTCATTGTTTCAGCTATCTTGCTCTGATTGCTGTTGAATCATTCCCAGATTCCTTGCTCCTAAATTGTTCTCTATTAGCCCTCAGGGCTTATGTTTAAAAGGAAAGGCACCATCAAATGGTAGAGGATTCTTATTCACATGTCGGACTCCAATACTCTTAACTACTGCTGTTGCTTCTACTTCATTTTTGAATGTGTAGGTAAGCATTTTTTTCCCTATATTACCAAGAAAATAATCTTACTCTATCCAGAGAGAAACCTCCCCTGATTTCCCTCTCCATACTCCGCTTTTCCATGTAAGAACAGTTAAATTGCCCAATTTATAGGCACTCATAGTTCCTTATACAGGCACCATATTGCAATCGTCTATATATTTCTTGGTACAATCCCATTAGATTTTAAATATTTGGAAGACAGAGACAATATTCTATTGCCAGGGCATAGTATGGTTCCTGGTAATACTTGAGAAAGGGAGAAAGGGAGGAAGAAAGGAAGGGAGGAAGGAAAGAAGGAAGAAATAATACAATCCTTTTAACCCTCATAGTTTACACTATATAATCTGGAAATGAACACGTACTCTTTGATTTACAAATAACAGATATTGTTAGCCTTTGATTAGTTTCTCCCTGCCAAAGACCATAAAGCTAATCCTCTTCTCTTTAGAGAGTTGATGTCTGTTCAGAAAATATTTATGAATTTTATTAGGAATCTTAGAGTAATTCAGCCAAACTTGGTGCAGAAGAATGTTAACTTCAGACATTTGGAAGACGACATAATTTTGGAATATTCACTTCTCCCTTTCACTAGGATTAATAATCCCAAATGGACAACAAACGTGAAATACTTACCATTTATATTTTCAGTAAACTTTTGCCCACTCTTGGTCAAATTAGCCTTTTGACTCTTTTCCTCACTTTGCACAGGCGAAGATACTGAAGCTTTTCTTTCTTTCTGCGGTTTATATGGATTTTTGGGCAAGAAAAAGAATGGTATGGAAGAAATAATGGCTATTAGTCCACCCATCAGGAAACCAAGCCACCAAGCACCAACCCAACGAGAGTCCTTAGGAGTTATTCTGACAGTGCCTAGAAAAAAGAATTAGAAGAAGCCAGTCAAAAAAAATTTTTTAAATTCTAACTTTAATTTTTGTTTCTGTTTATTATGCTATTTTATTCAGGATGAAGATAAACCACATTTCAGGATATTTTTCACCCAGAGTTCTCTGGTTATATTTATTTGGAAAGGATTCTAAGGACATCACAGAATCTGAAATTGACTTGGTTTAG